TAAATATATATATATATATATATATATATATATATATATATATATATATATATATATATATATATATGTATTAAAAAACAATTACAAAGCACATAGACAGTTAACATTGTGTTTGTGTGTGAACATTTGTTCGTATTTTAGTGAATGTTCGTATATTGGAGAAGTTCATAAGAGTTCCTACGTACGTGAATGCGTGAAATATTATTTAACGTCTGACCGCAAGGTCGAAACGATAATTCTCTGAGACTACATTTTGCAGCAAGAAGAGAGAACAAAGGAAAAAGGCAAACTCGTGTTTGATATTTATAGATAATGTAATCACGTGACAGGCTCACAAGCGCCTTGGCGGGAAACTTGATTTAGTCACGCGCTGGAAAAGTATATTGTGCGTGGATGGATTGCGACGCCCACTTGTGTGTTTATTGACCAATTAGAAGCAGATTTTTCCTGAAAAATATTTACTAAGCTGAGAAGGCTCTTGGGATCCGATTCTCCCAAAAGTGCACAAAATTGACTACATAAAAATATAGCAATTATAAAATTGTTGCATAGCTGTGATTTATAAATTGTCTATTACAAAGCAGTGCTGATTTATTATCCAGTGAATGCTTGTTGTTGTATAATTTGAATTTGTGTTAGTATGTATGTATGTATGTATGTATGTATGTGTGTGATGATGATGATGATTACAAACATTTGAATTTATATTTGATTCGTTCTTATTGCATTTGTGTATTATATATATATATATATATATATATATATATATATATATATATATATATATATATTGAATAGTTAAATAAAACTAAAAGTTCAAATGACCCATATTCAGACTTTCATGGATACAGATCCTCTCGTCAGGATTTATTAACAGATGTTATTTATTTTAAACATAAAAATAATAAGTATTAATAAATATGATGGATCTGTGCGAAACTTATATACATATTGGTCGTATTTGGGGAAATGGTTTATGCCGAATTCTTTTAAGCATTCCTTTACTTTTTGGATAGCGTCTTTTTATTCCGTTTTTTCTGTTAAATGCTGAATTAATGAACTTTATTTGCTAAATTTAATTTTAGCACAAGGCTGAAACTATAGGGCATCTGGTGAGTAATGGGCAGCCAGAATACTTCACTAACCATTGTCCGACATCAAGAAGCCCAAATAATTGTGTTGCATCCTTTTCTTTGTTAAATAGTATAAAGTGCATTTAGTTTTGTCACATCAGCTGTATTCGCCAGATATTGAAGATTTGGATTACTATTTATTACGATCTTTCCAAAATTATCTTAAAAGAGAAAATTAAAGAAACACTTCAATTCCTTGGAAGACTCCCAAGTGAATTTCTTTATTGAGAAAGATGAAAAAAATATTTTGGATGGGTGGAATTATGCAGTTGCCTGCAGAATCTTGGAAGATAGTGGAACAAAAACGGTAAATAGTAATAGATAATAATAAGTAAATAAGTAATAGATAAATAATAGCTTTTTAAAAAATTAATATTTATAAACCGAATTAACTTTTGACCAAAAAAAATTGAATTGGATTGGTAACGTGAATCATTGTTGAAATTAAATGAGTAATTTGGAGTGGGCTCAATTGGAACAGAAAGCTGAGAGACAAGGTGTGTCAATTCCTTTTCAAGACCACTTTGTTTTTAAAATGGCGTCACTTCTTGCTTTACTTCCGGTCCAAGATCCTAATATCGCTTTCCGTCTTTATCCGTGTAAACAGCCTATGGGTCACTAACCTGTTAAGACAATTCATCTGAACAGGATTATTCTTAAAATGATAAAAGACCGTCTTTTATTTTATTACTTAATTGACAATTCAACACAAGCTACTAAATGGGAGAATTTTCATACATTGATCCCTGAGTAGCTCATCGAATTTTCTTCAGACTTATCTTGCTCTTTTTGCGTGTGTGTGGATGCGTACAAGGTTATCAATTAAATAGAGGATGAATAAACTTATATAACATCTTAGTAATTTTAAGGCTGTCATGAAATTTCGGAGATGACATCCATTTTGTATTTTGTACAGGTGTGACAGAGAGAGTCTAGGAAACACACACGTATATTTTTTTTAGTGAAATTGGAGTGGATTTGAACAGCGAAATTAGATCAGAGCATTTTTGTGAAACCTGATCTAGGGCAGAAACTGTACCCATTGGAACTGGGTCATTAGCAGACAATGGAAATGGTCGAAATAATTTTTATTGATTAAAACTTGGAATAGAGCTGAGTAAGCAAGGAGGACCTTTTGAATTCACATGATTTTGGTTGAAACAGCCAAAACCCCGTGACAATAACGTGCGAACTAGTAGGGCCAAGATTCAGTTGTAACCAGCCGGATTTTTCTATATAAACGCGTATTTATGCTGAAAAAGAAGCAGACGGAAGAGGCAGACGGAAGAGACAGACGGAAGAGAATTAGCCCGGGCAAGAGTTGTGCTAGAGACAGTGGAGATTCGAGTTGGAGACTCAAGAAAGAGAGAAAGTGACGTCAGAGATTGGAACGAAGCGTCCGCTAATATGTACTGTTGATATAAGTACCGCTGCTTCTGCTACCACGAATATTACTACTACTGTTAGGGAGGAACGCCACTATAAACTTTAAGCCGCGCACAGAAATCTTATTCCCCAATCGCAAGAGTCGTATATCGTTCTGAGACGATTTAACAACAAGTTAATCATAACAGACACTCTCTCTGTCCAGAATCCAGTAAATGCGTTTTTACATCAATTACTTTTCTTTTCTGTAACCCATTTCTTTTCTATACTATTCTTTTCTGCTATATAAAAGACATTAACAATTCAATAATTGAATAGTTGTTTGTCCGGCTTTCTGTAGATATTAACTTTTTTTTTTTTTTTGCTGCATTCTAAATTTCTTAGCGCAGACGCTCCAGCCGTCTCTACATATTCAGTCGGCCGTGAATGGATGAACATCACTTCTGCTTTCCAAAGACAACGTGGGCAGGAAGCAGGATTAAACAAGTGGACCGGTCGAATAATCTACGGATGCTCAGGGGACCTACGGCCACTCCCTTAAGTTCGGTTAGGACCGAGCAGACACCTCAACCCAGAGAGTAAGACGTCGGAGGTTGAGGGGCTGGGGCGAAAGTGTTAAACAGGTTAAGGATAGAAAAAAATTTCCGCAACTTTACTTCAGTGCAAGATATGACACAAAGTCAGTTAAGCATTTGCAAAAATAAGTGAAATTTCAGAGAAACCGCAGACAGCAAGGAATACATTGATTTGTATAGTGTAATAAAAGGGTCTGGAAGCAGGGGGTTTATTGGTATGTCATATTCTAGGTACAGTGTCGAATTCAAATGTAGCATAAAGTATTTAATAAATCATAGTATCGGGATTGATTGAGATAGTCACGCAACGTATGGCAGTACATTTGTGGAATTTATAGAACCAGCCACTTGCGATCATGGCAGGACAGTGCTGGTTTTATTAAGACAGCAAATTTTGTAAACTGAAACTTTCTAGAAAAGAGTGTTCAGGTAGTTTTACGGATTTTATGGAGAGTGATAGAGCTAACATATTTAGATATACATGGTAAATATATGACAAACACATCAATCCAACTCAAAAAATATATATATATATATATCAATATATATATATATATATATATATATATATGGGATAACGATATATAAATTTTTATATAAATTTCTATATATCAAGAACGGTTTTGAATGAAAAGATGTATGAACAGTAGGAAAAGTTTTTGTGATGTGTTTTATTCGTTAGAACTTCATCAGACTGGGTTTGTGTACGTTGTTGTGACTACACATGCGTACGAACGAAATGCGCGGGAAGTTTTAAATTAAAAAAAAAAAACAACAGCAAAAAACACAATCCGATGAAGTGCTAACGGATGAAACGTGTCACAAAAACTTTTTCCAAATTGTCACTCACACACACACACATATATATATAATTATTATTTATAAAAAAATTATAACATAAAAGTATGTTATAAAATCACTACAAAAATAAGTATGTTATAAAATCACTACAAAAAATTAATGAAATTCGATTATTTTGGAAACATATGAGTGTCTGACAAAACTTGGATATGCGTACCTCTTATTAGGAATCACAGGATGTGATGTAATAGTTTATAATTTGTGAATCAATACTAAGAACCTAAACAATGAGAAGAGACTGGATGACACCTATAACGTCGTCGTTAAAATCCATTCGCCAGTCTTCGGTAATTATCGCGCATATTTTAACCAATAATTCTCTCATCCGAATTTCCTAAAGAAAGAAGTGCATATCGTATATTGAAGTGTCATCTATTTTATGTACATTAGTACATTCTATTGAAGGCAATGGAATATTTGATGTTGAAATGTTACCTAGTCTGAGTAAAAGTTATGGGGATTATAATTTACGAATAGGTTATTTTGCTGGTCCCGGTAAAATAGACACCAAGGCTATTTTGCCGGTAAATATAAATAGTGTTTTAGAACTAAAAATATATTATATTTGAGATCGTCAGCGCAGCGGTTGTGTAGGCAGGAACAACATGGATTCTGTGGTCTGTTGTCTTCAGTGGGTGCACCTGAAGTGTATTGACAAGAGAACTATGCCCAAGGGCAAGTTTTGGATTTGCAGAGACAGTTATGCCTGAAATGCTTAAAATATTCAGAAACTTCTATATTTCTTTTAATAATTGATGATGAATAAATGATTTTAGCCTATGTTTTAACAATTGATGGTGAAAAAGATATTGTCTTAACAATTAATAGTATCTATTGTTATTTTTAACATTTCCTGCTTATATAATAATAAAATATTTACCGGCAAAATATCCTGGGGGTATATTTTACCGAGACCGGTAAAATAAGCTTAAAAGCATGCCTGTCTATTTTACCAGGACCGGCAAAATAGCCTCTTTCTATAGTTTAGAGAAATTGATGTATACATAACCTTGTTAGAGTGAGTGCCAAATGATTTTACTTAGTTTTATCGACGAAGAAAAATAGGATAGATGGCAGAAAGAAAAGAAAGGAAAAGAGCCAGAATCAAAGCGACAGAGAGAGAGAGAGAGAGAGAGAGAGAGAGAAATAAAGCTGCAGAGATAGAAAATGTGAGCGAGAGAGAGAGGGAAGAAAGAAAGAGTGACACAGAGAAAGATAAAGATAAAGAAACAAATCGGCTGAGACAGAGAAAGTTACAGCGAAAGAAAGAGAGTGACATAGAAAGAGTCAGAGAGAAACACGGTGGCAGAGGTAGCGAAAGCAAACGTGACAGATAGAGAGAGGGAAAGTGTGAGCGACAGAAAGGGAGAGAAATACATAGAAAAACTCAAAGAAAGAATAGCAGAGATATAGACAGAAAACAAGAAGCAGCGAAAGAGGGTGGATGACACTAGAGCTTGATCAACAGTGCAAAAGTGGGCAGCTGAATTTAGGAGGGGAAAAACATTGATCGTAATTGCCACATGGTTATGGAGGACAGGCAATTGACCATAAATCAAATAATCAATGATATTAACATATAGCATGAGAGAGTTCAGAATATTCCGTGCAATGAACTTGGCATGACGAATGTTTCTGTTAGGTGCCGCGTCTTCTGATACCTGATCATAAGCGCACCAGGCTGATCACATCGCGGAAAATCTAACATTGAGACAGATTCAGCTGGTTTGCTAACCCAGGATGAGTGTTGGGTTCATTACTTTGAGCCAGCGATATTCCATGCAATAGAAACACCACTCCCAAGAAGGTCAAGGTAGTTTCATCTACAGGGAAAGTGATGGCCTCAACTTTTTGGTGCAAGTCAGTGTTTATTGAATACATTCAAAAGGGTCACACCATCAATAGATAGTACTATGTCAACTTCCTGAGGAAGATATGAAAGGCTATCAAGAACAAACGCCCAGGAAAACTGATGATCTGGACAATGCTCCAGTACACAAGTTTTTGCTTTCAATGTCTGCTGTGAGTGACATGGCTTTGAACTGATTGAAACGATTATCCTGATTTGGCTTCCTGTTCCTCAACATGAAGAAAACACTTTGATGGGAACCACTATTGTAGTGATCATGGCATATTTGCTGTGGATGACTTTTTTAACCAACAGGATGAAATCTTCAATGGAATCAAAGCACTACAATTGCAAATAGATATTATTCAGATAAAACATTGTGTAAAAATTTAATCTGGGTTTTAAAAAAGTGCTATATACTAATTATATATACAGGGTGTGGCAGAAATACCACCCACTTAATGGTAAGGCTAGATGAAGACACCATTGCCACTAATATCCTACCATTGTGGGAGATATTTCTGCTGCATGCACATATACATACATACAAATATTCATACCTAGACGTAAAAAATACAAAAAACAAAAACAATGATACTCAAGATTTAAAATGTATTTTAAAAATGAAAAATTCTTTTTTGAAGCTTTTAAGCTAATTTAACATTTTCAATAAGCAAAATACTTTGCCCTATTTCAAACCAAATTTAAATCGATTGGAATTATTTTTTGGATTATCAGTAAAATTGATGAAATTGTCCATATTGACAAATCTGTCAATACAAAATAATTATCTTAATTAAAAAAAATAAAATGTACTTTTCTGGAACATTGAGAAAAATTTGATTAAAAAAAAAAAAAAAAAAAATATAAAATAAAATTGCTGATTTAATCTGAATTGAAACAAATATCACTTAATTTAAAATGTCCCTGAAAAGCATTTTTTAACAGAGGTAGGTGTTGACACATTGACAGCCTGAGGTTTATCTAAAATAGATAAGGGGGAGACAATTGTAATAAAATTACATGATGAATATACAACATAAATGCTAAAAAAACAAAAACAAAAAAACTACCCATTAATACTAAAAATTTTAACACTATTGTCCTCATCTTTGTCGCCATATTTATTACGTTTCGGCCGTTGTACGCTCCGGCCTTCTTCATGTTTAATGGATGCCAGTTATCGCCTGTTAATTCCCCTAAGTTCTCCAGTGCCTTAACCAGGTATTGAACTCACACTCTTTGGGTCCTGTCACTGAATCTAACCGGTTAAAGTGGTGGAGAACTTGGAGAGGGGAATTAACAGGAGATAACTGACATCCATTAGACATGGCACCAGGAACTAAAACAGTCTACCCCAGTGAGTGAAATAAAGGGTTCAGTTTGACATTCCAACCACCTGAAGAAGGCCGGAGCGTACAACGGCCGAAACGTAATAAATATGGCGACAAAGATGAGGACAATAGTGTTAAAATTTTTAGTTTTAATGGGTAGTTTTTTTTTTGTTTAGCATTTATGTTGTATATTCATCATGTAATTTTATTACAATTATCTCCCCCTTATATATGTTAGATAAACCTCAGGCTGTCAATAAGGACCACCGCAAGGTAATTTTACATAGTCCTGTGAAGTTTTGTTGAAATCGGTTGAAAAATGTAGGAAATCCGATCCAATATATAAATGAACATAAACACACACACAACCTTGGTTTTATAAGAGGTATGATTTAGTAACTATTCAATATGTGGAAATAATAAATTCTAAACACTTCAAAAACTTGGCGTATAATGTATAAAACTAACTGAAGTAATGTTCTTAAATAGCTTCATCAGATCAAGACTTTCATATGGATGGCATGCATGGTGCAAAACTAGTTCAGAAATATCTGAACTGTCAATTGGATATGACTCCCTCAGATCAATGGCTAGAAACGTCTTCCTGTAAATGAAGCTTGAAGGTCAGAGTTTCCCCATTTGGTGGAGAATTCAAGGATTTCGGAGACCACAAACTGGTAGACTTAAAAAGGTTAATTTTCAAACTTCCCAAAGCAGCACAACCTGCATTGGTCCATACAACTGAGAGGTCAAGCTGGGTTTTCTTTCTGCTAGCACATTTTTTTTGCCGCTACAAAAATAATCCATGTAAATGTATACGTAATAATAGGAAAAAGAATGAAGATTTTTCAACATATGCAGATTATTTTGAATGGGACAATTTTGGAAAGTGGAGGGAGGTCTTAGCAAGGATTATCCTTCTTCAAACACAGTAGTCTGTCACTACCGGATCACAAAGAACTGTATCAAATAACAGAAACCACATCACTTGAGTACTTTCAGCAACAGCTAAAAATGGATAGCTAATATAAGTTGAAGAAAAAATAATGGTATCAAATGTCAACATTCCATGATGCTATTATTTTTCACTTCAACAAAAAAAAAAAAAAAAAAAAAAACTTACTGAATGTAGAACTGGCTGCTCAGTCAATGAAAAGCAAATATTTCCTTTTAAAGGAAAATGCGAATGTTACCATCGGACCTTGTATATCAGGCAAACAATACAAGACAGGTTTCATCCTTTTGAGCATTAAGTCATGTACTATCAACAATCCATAACAGATGGGATTAAATATGAATAAAAAAAACGAATTTTGTTAAAATAATTTTATTCATAGAAAAAAAAAAAAAAAATAATCAGTTTAAGATAAGCAAAAATTGTCTTTTCTAAATTAAGGAAAGTTTCAAACAAGAATTGAGTAATTACAGAATTTAAAAAGCAATACAATTAAAAAGAAAATAAGAAAGCTCTACTCCCTCCCAAAAATAAAAAACATACCAATTTAATGGTATCAAACTGTTTTAATCATTCCTCAAAAAAAAAAAAAAAAAAAAAAAAAAAAAAATGTATTTTTATATGAAAATTGTTTATGATCATGATAGACAAATAGATTCTTTGTGTTGTCATTACCGTATTTTGTATCACTGACCAGAAATTACTTGAAACAATCTTAACATGGGCAGCAATTTCTGGCCAATTTGTTACTCCCACACAAGACAGAAGAATGGGAATGGGACAGACAAGGAACACCCACACAGTATTGAGTGCATGAGTATGTGTGGATTGCCACCTAAAACAGTGGATAGACAAATGTGCAAGGTTCAATAAAAGATGTTGCAAAAAAAAGTAAAAGGAATTTGCATAATAGTGGTAATGTTTTTGATCCATCATAACTAAATATGCTGCAGAACACTTATGCATAACCAGTTGGAAACAGAATAAAAAAGAGAGACAAAAAAGGAAATATCAATAATGGTTAAACTGTATGGGAGTTTATCTCCATTAGCAGCATGTTTGACTTTTTTTTTTGCAGTGTTTTATTACAGTAATCATGTATATTTCCATCCTTGCTATTTGTATACAGTAAGGTTTTCTGATATTGCTGAAGTAATTTTGAAGTGCACTGATAGTTTGCTTTAAGCATTATATGCCTAAATACCCCCCCATATGACCTGCCGAAATGGTCAGGTGTCTTATGCTGTCAAATATGGTAACTGTTATAGAACAGAGGTAGTAGTTACTAAACTTCACCTGGTATGGCACAAGGTCAAATGTTGCATTAGAAACTTGCTAAGTTATATGTATGTAAAATATGAAAGTGGACACCAAGTGGCAATAGTTATTTAAGCTTGAGCACAGTCTTCATGACCTAAAGAAAGATTGATGAGCATGAAACAGACTGATGAAAGAGAGAGAGAGTACCTAAAAATAGACCAAATATACAAAAACCTGATTTTGTGTTTTTTTTCAACTTGTCTAAAGACATGCAACAGAAGGAATCAATTAAGTTTTGTCTGGGGTCAAGCAGTTGCTAATTTGGCGGAACCTAACTTATAAAAAAATTTACATTTTAAATGGTCCCAAATTATACGAGATCTGTATAGCATTGTCTGTAGATTGAGAGAAAGGTAAACTGAGGAAACTTCAAATTTTTTCTTTTCAATAATCATTTTGGGGTGGTAATCCAATGACAAAATGCACCCCCCCACAGACTTCTTAAAACTGTGCATGTGTGTGGTGAAGAAGAAATACAAACAAACATCTATTATATTTATTCAGAGAGAAACACATGCAGGCTTGCTTAACTATAAATTTACAATGTCTGATATGTGCAGATGCACAACCTAGCCGAACTCACTCAGTTTCCTACTGCTTTTACCTTTATTGCTGTTAATATTCAGTGTGAAGAAGCCTCTTTTAGGAGATGAAATGTATTACATAAAATTTACATATTACGTACTCTCATAATCCTTCTTACACATAGTTGGGTTTTGTAGTCACTAAAAACACAAAATTCAGCCTGTAAATATTTAAGATCTTAAGGCTTATCTTTTATCCATGTGACACAAGCTTAAGAATCGATTACATAGTTGGGGTGTACGACCAAGTAAGGATCATCCTCCACTGGTAGGGGCTCCTCAGCCGATTTAGACTTGGACATTAGCTGTGTATGTTTCAATTCAATAAGAATGTTGTCGTGATGGACAAGCCGATCAATGACCTTCATCACAATTGTCTTTCGTTCTATCAACTCGGCTTCGCTCTCAATCTCACTTTCAATTTCCCGCAGGTACCAAGCAATCAGCTTGCTACGCCGACATCCTGTGCTACTTTGTTCCTCCAGCTCCTCTTCCATTCGACGCAGATTCAGAACCAAAAGATTTGCCATGTGCTTGTAGTCCTCATAAGATAATTTGATGCTTTTCTTGGGGGCTGCTTTCTGGGGAGATTTGTCATGTTGCTGGGTATCTGAAGGTTCGGCTGTGTCTTCAACTGTCCCATTGACATGACCGTTGGGCTGTGTTGGGGGCTCAGAATCTACTTCCATTTCCTCATCCTCTTCGTTCTCTTCACCTTCTTCCAAGTGAACGTCTGGTTGATCTACACGAATGATGGACTTGTTCAAGAGACGGAAGGCTTCTTTTACGTGCTTTGGTTGAACCTGAAAAAGTATTATGGTAAAGAGTTAATGCATTTGTGATGGCAAAAGAGCCAAGATTGCAAATTAATTTTTTTTCAACCCTTCCAAAGATTTAAATGTTCACCTACAGAAAAGCACAGAAATTTGATATATATAATATTTCAAATAGGAAAACATTACACATATACATAAGCAATTAATTTTTTTTATGACCCAGAATTATTTATTACTGTAAAGTTAGATAAAGATAAAAAAAAAATCTAACTGAAAATAATGCCAGTTGAGGTTGAAAGTCTTACTAAACAAAATGTGCCTGGCATATACAAGTTTGAATCTTGTTGGAAACTTTTTATTTTTTTATTTTAAAGATTATTTAACTATCCACTTACTCAAATACCCAACTACCCACTTACCCAACTGCCCAATTACTCAAATACCCAACTACCCACTTACTCAAATATTTTATATCATTATTATATTAACAACCTTCCAATATCTAGGCCAGTCATCATTAATTTTACTCTAGAGAGAAAGGAAGAGAGGTGTGTGTGTGGGAGGGGGTGTAGAAATGTTTTTTCCCCCCACACGTTTAGTCACTGAAATACAACTCTCCAACTGTTATTACGACTGAAGCATTATTGGAAAATCCCCTTTCCCAAAAAACTAAAAACTCCTATTCACATTCGTAAACAGGAAAGTCACTCCCAAACCAAAGGAAAGAGAAGAAATAAATCTTAAAAAAAAATAAAAATAAAAACACACCATGACTTAAGACTAAGTACAACTGCTGTTAAATAGAAAAATTTAAAAATAAGTTACTCAATTGGGTATATCCCGGATACAAACTGCCAGCTTCCAAAAACCATGCAATTACACTATATTACCAACTAGGAAGCCCACAGAAAAGAAAGATGAAACAAGATCGAAAATTGAAAGATTAGAAAAAGAGGTAAATTGAAATCCAGATGAAAAAATGACAACTCAACTGGGCAAAAATCTGATAGCTGGTCACATACAGATAAAATAAAAATTTCAATAAATTGTGTGTGTATATATATATATATATATATATATATATATATATATATATATATATATATACACACACACAATATATATATATATATATATATATATATATATATATATATATATATATATATATGCGAGTGAAAGAAAGAGTAGGGTGCAGCCGATTTTTATTTTAATCCAATATCATTTCTTATTACTATAACTTATTTTAGTGGGTACGAGAAACAATGTTAAAAAAAACCCTAATAATGAATGTACACGTTTTCAAAATGTACTTATAATTCTTCACAAAACGTACACATATGTAGGAATTAAATTCTATATATATTCTTCAAGCAGTAAAAGCCCCACCAGGAGGTAGGTTTGACAAACAATCATTACAAGGGCAAATACTGCCAAAATACTTGTGTATCTAGTTGTAGACCTACAACATGTTATTTTTGGACCATTTAGAAAGTAAAAATAAGTCCTTTGACCATTCCTGCAAATTTGAGAAAAAGATTTAAGATGCAGTGTTAAATTAAATTTCTAACTAATGAAAACCTTGTATTCAAAAAGTTCAAACCTTTATATGAAATTAGGTTCTGAATCTTCTTACAGATATAAAAATAGAATCTATTACTTCCCAAGGTTCAAATCAATTTGGAAGGCCAGTTTAATCTAAACATGTGCATGCACACAATAGAAGAGACAATAGCAGCTGTCCATGCACTCAATAGAAGGGATTAAGCAGCAGTTGCTGAGTAAGCCTTTGTCTACAAACTCACAAAGACATTAGCCTAACAGTCATAAGTTTGTCCACACATTTCACACAGCCTTAAGAACACTTAATTACTTTATAAAACACTTCACTGCAAGGAAAACTGAACATTTTATTCCTATTGTATATTTCTGAAAACAATATATAAATGTTATTTCAACTGATGTTCTGCCTCTACTTTTCATTCCGAAAATAACCTTTTATGTTTCATTTAAAAGATGTGTTAAATGTTTGGAATCCCAAAACTCAGATAGCAACAAAAACCTGAGTAGACAGATCCCAACAGAAGCATGCTAGAATTTTCCAGCTACACAAAATAAACTATACAATACAGAGAAAGGGAATGTAGAGCATTACGAACTGACCATTACAATTTGCTCATGTATTTTGTCCTTGTGTCAGTTCCTGTTGAGTAAATATTTACATATACCCAGAGCACATACATGAACGATATTGATTTAAAAAAAAAAAAAAATAAAAAAAAAAAAAAAAAGGTATACCAACCTTTTTCAGGTTATTTAAAGCCAGAATATATTTAGATTGCAAGAATTTTTGGAGATAACAATTCATTGATACAAGTCCTACTAATTAATCCACAGCTGTTAGATGGATAAGGGGGGAGATCCATACTTTCCAATGAGTATTTACTTGTAATAGAATGAGCTAATCTGAAACTGGCTTTTCAATTTCCAATTCTGAGCCCTTCTCAATTACACCAGCTGCACATTCAAGCTTACAGCACCTGGTACTCCAAGCGGTCACCCATCTAGGTACTGACCAGGCTTGACATTGCCTAACTTTGGTGATCGTACAAGAACTGTCTATATTTCTGAGATGAAGTATTATGTACGTTATTCAGACTATTGTCCTCATTTTGTCGCCATATTTATTATGTTTTGGCTGTTGTACGCTCCGACCTTCTTCAGGTGGTTGGAATGTCGAACTGAACCCTTTAGTTCGCTCACTGGGGAAGACTGTTCTAGTTCCACGTGCCATGTTTGATAGATGCCATTTATCAGTTATCTGTCCTCAAGGACACATGGCACAGTGGATAAAGGCGTTGGTTAGGACCCAAAGAGTGTGAGTTCAATACCCAGTTAAGGCAGTGGAGAACTTTCAGAGGGAAAATTAGCAGAAGATAACTTAACTGACATCCATCAAACATAGCACATGGAACTAGAACAGTCTACCCCAGCGAGCGAAATAAAGGGTTCAGTTCGACATTCCAACCACCTGAAGAAGGCTGGAGAGTACAATGGCCGAAACGTTGTAATAAATATGGCGACAAAGATGAGGACTATAGTCCGAATAATGTAAATAGTACAAGAACGGGTATTCCAATGTAATCGGATCATAAGCCTACATGAGAGAAAGAGAGACTAGTATGATCACAATACAAGAAACAGGCTCATTAGCAAGCCTCAGAGCCACTGCCAAGGAGAGAATGTTGAAATGACACTGTCATGTTACAAGAGTCAATATTTCAGCTACCACCTTACAAGATACAACTTTTGCCCAAAAAAAGGCTGACAACATCAGCAAGTGGACTGGAAGAGCACCCACAGAGACTCTGACCTTGGTATATCATCAGAGACATATGAAGAGAGCTGGTTGTGTACTCAGCTGCATAATGATCCCACAACCCCAGCCAGTTATGTGACTGATGATGAGGTTAACGACAGGGATGTTATGTGGGTAGTGTAATGGTTTGTGTTGCTGAAAGAGAAACTAGCAAGCCAAGTTCAAATCTAGAGTTATTACATTCACTTTCAGAGAAATACACGTGGGAAAAGCAGGAATCCACCTCGGCCATAAGTTAACAGTTACCATGGTAATTCCTTTCTAAAATCGTTCCCCCTGCCGCTGCATTTTTTTTTGAGGATGCAAAAACATGAACACCTGTTTTAAAATTGTTATAACTTTCTTTGTATTCTGCATATAGATTTTAATTTTTGTACACTAATAAAAGAATGAAGCAGTAATATTTTGATTTAATGCATTACATTTTGCATGCATGTCCTGACATTGAGAACAAAAATAAAAACCAAATAAATTCAAAAAATACATAAATAATTCAACGTACTTTAACTTTTATTACTCCTTGTGGAATTCTGGGGTACAATAAGAAACAAAACCACTAAAAAGGCTTTAGCCTTGTTCCAAAGCAGTAGTAAGAAATTTCCAGCTTAAAATACTGGAAATAACAGTTGACAAGTGTTTATTTATAGCAACCGTTTCAGGTGACAGAAGTCACCGATAGTAATAAGGGAACGAATTCTATGGTGACTATTGTTGCCTGCAGTGTGGTAAAATATTAAGCTGGATTCGCTTGTCTTTCGGTTGCAATCAGCCCACAAGGAAGACTGAATTTGAAACCAACCAAAAGAGAGGTTCTGTCAGGCAATCTTTGATGTGATTGTTTAATGGCATATCAACTCCTTATGGGTCATTTAATGCTGAAATTTAATTTTCTTGGGTGCTTTGAAGTAATAAAAATGTTATTCTGCTTGAATACATTGTAGAGAATTACTTAATTATAATAAAACAGATCAATATATTTGGAAAGGAAAGAATTAAAATGAAAGACATCTACATACCATATCCTGACAGTAGAGTCGAGCCATAGCCTCTGACAATCGGATGAGAGATTCCAATTGTCTGACAGTAATCCTCCAAGAAGATCTAGTGCTTCCAGTTCCATCCCTCTGCCTCAGGTGCTTGTATTCTTCAACCATGTACTCCATGGATTCTTTGCTTATCTTTGGTTTAAATTGGCGAGCAAACATTAAGTAGCGACTAATATCCTCAACACTGTACACTCGAGAGACAGACTCCTCATTGCGACAATGGAGATCAACAATACGGGTTGCAATGGCATAGTCAATAGCCTCGTTACATTCATCAACAAGAATGAAGAACAGATCAAATCGAGACATGATCGGAGCTGTGAGGGTGATGTTTTGTTTCAATGGCTTTGTGCGGTCATAACGCCCACCAATTGGATTGGCCGCAGCTAAGATAGAAGTACGTGCATTCAGGGTGGCCCGGACACCCGCTTTGGTAATGGAGATGGTCTGCTGTTCCATGGCCTCATGAATGGCAACTTGATCCTTTGGGTCCATCTTGTCGAATTCATCAATGCAGCAAACACCGTTATCCGCCAACATCAGGGCGCCTGCTTCGATCACAAATTCATGGGATTCTTCATCTCGAACAACAGCTGCTGTCAAACCAGCAGCACTGCTAGCTTTCCCGCTGGTGTACACAGCTCTAGGACTAAATTCTTCCACTTGCTTCAACAACTGGCTCTTAGCAGTACTGGGATCACCAACGATACAAACATTGATATCACCTCTCAAATTGGTGCCCTCAACGGTGACCTTAGGTACACCACCAAACAGCATAAGCAGGATTCCTCTTTTGATCTCGTCACAGCCATGAATGGTTGGGAAGAGACTCAAGCAGATATTCTGATACAAATTCTTGTCCTGACTCATCTCGTAAACACGATGCCACTCTTCATCGGTCATTTGTTTTTTCAGCACCTGAGCAGTGATTTCCTCCTCTTTGATTTCACGCCCACTTCCGCTCACCCTCGGGTTGCTAGGTGTTACGGTACAGGCAAGAAAAGCTAACTTGTACGTCAAGTCCCTGACACCCAAGGCTTTCAATCCACTGACTCCCTCCATTTCATAACCTTCATTCCCTTTCATACGGGTCGATGTCTCGGCACGCGCGCCGGGCATGTTGATCTGGGAGACGTCAGGGACAACAATCAGCGTCCCAATAAAATCACATTTGTCCCCAGCCTGGGCAACCTCTACTGCTTCTGCCCTCATTATCACTTCCAGACTGCGAGGGATGCTCCCCCGGGGTAGCTCAGCTTGAGTTTCCTGAACACGGGCTTTTTGAAAGTCAACAAATCTTGATTTATTCACATCCAGTACAAATTTTGACCTGTTGCTGCACACAGGATTTCGACAGATACTTGGCTGAGTATACTTAAACTGCTGTTCGACATCTTTGATCATCGTGCGGCAATCCAAACACATGAATGTCCCAGAAACCAGTTCTGGGTGGACAGGGTGAGTACGCACAACCTGCCCAGAGATTCGAAGAAGGGTGCCAATTTTGGCAGCTGTTAAATCCCGAACTTTTAAAGTAGTGGGTACATCAGTAAAGCTCACATAGAATTCCTTTGAAGGAGGTACATGTCCGCGATCTTGAGAGAAATTACGCAAAGCCAGACAGAGGAAAGGGTAAACCCGATAGTAATCTTCCAAGATGGTCGTTGCTAATTGCTGGTTGTAATTTTCAACGTCTTCAAAGCTAACAACCAGAGTATTGCGCTCAGGCCGAATCAACTCTTGCACCTCGGGAAGATATTTCAGGTCTCCATCTACAGTAAACTCCTCCAAGAAATCCTGGAATAGTTTCTGGCATCTCTCTCCAACTTGGTCTTTAACCTGGTTGGTACGGGTAGCCTGTTCAGCAGCATCCATGTTTAAAGGTCAGAATCAGAAAAGCAGTGCAGAATATCCAAATGTGGAACTGAAAAAGAGAGAAAAAAAATTCCTCAGAAGTTAAATACTTCATGACACAGGGTTCCCAGCCTAATCAAATAAAATTCTGATTTTGGGACATCATGTAGCAGATAAACAGTAGTAAATATATAGCCGTGCTGTGGTATGGTTAAAAAGATGAACAGAGAAAAAAACATTTTTATTTAAACTGTTAATCCTAGAAAACAAATACCATAATCCTGTGTTTTTTTTTCCCCATCCAAAATCTTGCCCAAAAGTCTGCTGCATTTTATTCTTTAGTTTAGAACTCATCCTATTTTTTCTAGGATTCAAAAGACAAAATCAGGTAAATTTGGATTTATTTGTTTACTGTAAAGATAATACCTATCTAATGAAGTGATTTGTAAATGATGCAGTGGAATGATTTAAAGACAAAGATTTAGCGCTCGCTATCCTCCATTTTATGGAGGGGACGCGGGAATCGGGTCAACAGATGAGTCTGTGCACAACGCCCATGTCATGGGGGGCTGGGAATGCCACACTTTGAGAGCCACAAATGTGCCTTGAGGTTGGCATTCCTATGCCGCGCATTGACAGGAGATTCAATTATGGCAAGGATTGTTAGGGAAGTGTTCCATTCCCTTACTATCAGTCCCCGTGTAAACCCTGGGATCAATCGGATTTCCTTAGTGAGTGTTGGTTGGCCTTGTTGGCTGTTCCTCGGTCCAGTGACCTTTCTCGGCCTAGGATGGTCTGATATTTGTTCGTGGAGGGGATCGCGAAGGATTCCCTACGTGAGGATCTCGACTTGTTGGAGGATGAGTTTCGCTCTTACTGGTCTTGGGTGTCAGCAGCAAATTACCTCAGTAACCCTGAATTTTTGCTTACCTGGGGATTGGCTCGGAATCGGCTGCTTCTCAATGACAAGGCCTTCATATGGTGCTTGGCGGATTTGCCAGACTGTGAATGGTGTGGCCTTGGTTTAGAAGAAATGGTATTCACATGCCTTCTACCACTGTCCCCGGTCTGCCCTTATGGGACCATGTCCCAAAGCTGACGGCTCATCTCGCCAAAAAGCTTGTGCCCATTGAGGGGGGCAAGACACGCAGATGTGACAATGTGTTGCCCTCGTATTCCGGGGCGAAAGGGATGGTGTTTCTGACACTGCTAGCCACAGCCTGAATGCTGATATGGACGACACGACAGGAGGAAATCTTGCGGTGTATCCATCTCTCTCATCAGGATCTGATCCAATTCTGTGAGCTTCAGCTCAAGATGAAGATTAGAACTGATAGAAAACACTTGCATTCGACAATCTTCAGCAAAAGGTGGGTGACTGAGGCGAGCTTGGTTCCTTTGAACGGGGCTAGCCTTGATTTTCTCTTTTAGGTCAAGCCTACGTCACATCGGGTGGTTTCCTGTGAGCCCACCCCTTGGTTAGGTTAGACAAGCTTTTGTGTACCTAGTTAATGTGAGTAAGTGTTGTTCCTGGCCACATCTTTAGTTATGATCCAACCTGAGATTCCCAACCTCCCCAGTTTGTTTTTGGCCCCTTTTTATCTCGACTGGGTCAGCTTTATATTTTCCCATGCCCGTATGATTTTTTTTATTCCTTTCTCACTCCCTTAGCGAGAGAGTCTCTTGATTTTGCCCCCTGGGCAGAATGCAGCGGACTCTCTGCTTTGAGGGTTGGACAGGTCCTACTAACATCAGTTATGTTTAATTTGAATTATGTTTACATTTTAGTTGATTATTGGGCTCATCTCCCCTCCCTATCATTGTATTCATCCATAGATTTTTAATTACATATATATAATCATTATATGGTGTGGGGTGCATTTTGTAGGTCTCCCTAGAGTGGATGTGATATTATGGTGCATGGAGGATCGATTGGTGATAATTGTAATGTATGAATGGGTTGTGGATCAGATTAGCTAGGTATAAGATAGTGTTGACCAGCCTTTACCCCTCCCCTTTTTCGGCCTTGTGCCACAATTTTGTACTTGTACAAAATATAAAGACAATCAAAGATTTAGAAAAAGTCTCAAAAAATTCATGTCAAAGATAAATAATTTCAAAATTTAAAATGGATTATTTGTAATTGCATACAAGAGTCACAGTATGAATAGCTATAAATAATTGACGGATTTTATCATTGTGATATTTTTGCATTATATCAAGCATTAAGAATATAGTAACTAGAGTCTGAAAATTGGAGAAGAGAGAATTATCCATAATAATGTTCTTACTTCGAATCCGGTTATCTCCCTTTAACCTCGGTTTTTTTTTTTTTTTTTTACTTTTAAATGTAGTTTTTATCACAAAATTTGGTGAACAAAGGGAAATAAATCTTTCATAATGTTGAAAGTCTGAGTAGCTGTTGAGAAAATTAAGTCAACTTAAATACAAGATTTTTCTTGAGATTTACTCAAATTACTGACATGAGTTAATTTTGAGCATTATTAACAGTGCTTCAGTAATTTTCTCTGCTCTAAAAACAGGTGAATTTTAGACATAAAATAATCCCCCTCCCAATTCTTTGCTATATATATATATATAAAGAAACTGCATCATATCTTCATCACAAAGAATTACAGTATATACCACTTAAACATTTTTCTAACAATCCCCCCCCAAAAAAAAACATTCAATACATTAGAAAAATTCCCCTATATATAAATTACTATTTTTTTTCTTCTTTGGGATAATTTCATGCTTCCCCAGGTTGGATGTGAACCACATTAAAGAACTCATGACTTTGGTTCTACCAAGATGGATTTAAGAAGGTGCCTATTATAGTGTAGATCTGGTATTTTGCATTAAAGCAGGGGTGGTGGTGGTCATGAAACCAGAGCTGTTTAATCTGAGAGAGAGAACATGATCATTGAAGTTAATTTTTCATTTTACAATTGAAACTGGTAAAATAAATTTCATGCTAACAGGTAAATTTTAAAGTGGAGACAAAAAACAAACCTCTCTGAACAGGTGTTTAGTAAGAGAGGGATCCAGTCAGTCTCAAATACTCAGTTGAAGTGTTTATTTTATTGAGAGAGAGAACCATCCACGAAACAATAACATGTCCCCTCCCTCCAACCTTCTTAAATATGCTAACTAGAGCAGGGTTTTTCAAACTGCAGATTAAAAAAAAAAAAAAAAAAAAAATGAAAGTGAGAGCAAAGTGTAGAATTAAACAACTAAACATTGCACAGCACTCATTTATATTTTACTTTATTAAAATAGAATATCAAAAAAGAAAAAGCCAATACTCAATAATGTCAACTATGACCACATCCACAATGTGTTGACTGTTTCAAAAACAAAACATTCCTGTAACTCTAGAAACATACATAAATCAATCCACATATTTTGTTAAAAGTAAAATAAAATTCATCCTTGATTATGGCTAAAAGTATATCCAAAAGCAATTGGAAGACAGCTGGACAATTTTTATAAATTTATGGCCGGAAAAGAAAAATTATCCGAACACATGAGAAATTATTAAAAAAAAAAAAGCTCAACCACCACACCTTATCAGTCATTTTCAATGAAAACACCACTTTAAGGTTCCATTATAATAATTTATTTCACCACTTTCGTTTCATTTTTTGTAAGTATTATCTGATGATCCAGCATCCCTTAAAAGGGCTCAGGTGAAATAAATTATTATAATGGACCCTTAAAGTGGTCTGTTTTTCTTTAAATTATTAGCTCTGGATTTACATTGAGCTCTCAGGATTTCATCCTCCCTGGGACTGCCCATATGGGTTACCAAGTTTTTCATAATTATATATATATATATATATATATATTAGTGTTCCTCAAAAAAAATTCAAGAACAGGCTAGTTTTTCTAAAAGTAATGATTTTATATCCATACAAATTAAATACAAATAGATACATGCAATTTCAATATGTGCAGATCATAAGAAATATGCATATAAACTATCAATGTAGGTATAAATGGGTTGCAATGCCAAATGTGGTTCTTGCCGTGGGTCACAGTAAAAAAGATTTAAAAAGACAAGACACTAACTAGAATCCTCAAAAAAGGTAAAGTGAAGCTAATTGTTCATTTATACCATTTGTTATATTTCTTTTGGTTTTCTGTATAATTTTTTTTTGTTTATAATTTTGGGTGTATGGAATGGATCAATTCAATTTACATTCTTTATGGGAATATTACTTGTTTTCATGACTTTTTTAAATGGATTATGGCTAGTTCCACAATGTAGATTGTTTCCAGGACTTTCAGATGGCAAGAAGAATGCAATGAAAACTACATTTTCCATTCCACTTGCTTCTGTGTTTCTATTTTTGTAACAACTGTGCTAGTTGCAGTTTTTCAGTACTTAAAAAAAGACATTTTTAATTATTGCTATCTATAAATTTTTAAAATCAGTATCACTATACAGAGTAGTAAAGCCACTAAGACCCAAGGGGATTCTGGGTGTGTAAGAATTAAGAACAAAAACATTAATAACTAGCTTAAAAACCACCCAATTGGATGACATTTACGCTAACTCCTGCAGAGGGCTCTTGATTGGGCCTTCATCACAACAGGTAAGGAGGAGTAGATGTGATAGGCAACAATAAGCTACAGAAGAACTCAAAATTAATTGCTGCATTTAAGTATTGCATATCTAACATTTTAAAAGTTGAATTATAATTCTTCTGCCACCACTTAATTTAAAAACAATTTGATATTCTTATGTCTAGGTATCTCCAAAAGCTTGTATACCAAAGGTTTAAATGTATTTTTCATAAAGGAAAAATCATTTTGAAGCTTTCCCCCAGCTTCAATATTAAATGTTCTAATTCCAGAAAAAAAAAAAAAAAAAAAAAAAAAACAAACTTCAATTATGGTAAAAAGTGTTTTGGGAGTATGATTTGTATTAAGATTTTAATTTTCACTTAGTAAATATAGTCTTCAATTAATAACCTGCCTCGTACTGTTTGGAAGAATTTTAAAACATTTTTTAA